AACATCTCTTCTCAGGAAAGCGATCAACTGGGAAAACTGACCGGCGCTAGTAAACCAAGGTATTCTTTGCTACCATTTGATGCTCCTTTGGCATTTTACAGGCTCCAGAATATGTTTTCTCCATCTGCTCTTGCCTTCTCAATAGTTGTGTTCTTGTCTTCATAGCTACTTGTGTACTTTGATTTTTGCAGAACTTTGGATGATGTGTTACTTGGTTCCTTTTTGATACTTGGAAAATCAGTAATTGTTGCGTGCAATATTTCAATTATTACCTTTTGTTTTCCAGATGGCATTTTATCTTGGAATTTGCTGATGGTACCTATGAAGATGCTTGTGTTGCAGTATCTTGGCTGGCGGACAGAAAGGCTAAAAGAAAATCCAGCTTATTTTGGACAGCTTCGCAGTTGAATTTCTGTCTCTGTTTTTTTGAACTTACCTTGCTTTTTATTTAAGCTATTTTTCATATTGTTTTTTAACTTTAAATTTTGGAAGAATGTTAGTTTTTATTTTATTTTAGAAGAACAAAGATGTGAGGAACATTATAAGAATTCAACCTATTGAAATGGCAAGACCTAGACTACAGATTAAGTATTTAAGTTTGTGCTTAAGATGCTGCAGCTGAACTTGCTGCCTCTATTATGCATTTTTGGAACGTAGATACGTGTTGTCTCAGAATTTTTTGATTTTCTTTAGTACAAACTTTCCTCACTCTTTTTGGCAACTTTCTGTTTACACGCCCTAAAAAGCATATTCAGAAAATGTGTTCATCTGCCTATCTCCTTAGGATGGTTTTTTGGGGAAATGCTGTGAGTTGAGAGCAGACTGAAGGAATAAAAAAGCATTGGTGAAGTCAACCCCATATCTTTATGGTCTAAGATGTGAGATCACTTGTAATATAGAATTGACTTTTCGGAATCCTTGCTCACTCCCTAAAACACGTGTAATTGAGAGAGTCATTGTATTAGTGCCTTGGGGAAATGCTTACCTTCAGGAGAATATTGCCGAGATATTTAGGGGAAGGGCTTTCCGCTACTTTCAATGAGATATGTAAACAATTGGGTTCAATTATATTCACATGTAATGGTTTAAAATTTCTGTATCTAGTATGTAGTGCGTGAAGATGCAACATTTAATAAACACAGAGCAAATTAGACACCACTTGAAGTGGTAAAATTTAATAAAAGTTAACCATAGACTTTTGCAAGAGAAAACAAGAAACTTTGATTACAGTGAATCAATGATATATGGGGACTAAACATATATAAAGAATCAGATTACATACAGGTTTTCTTGCTTGTATCTCTAATCAATTTTTACAACTACCAAGAATTGTTAACTCTAATTTCTCCACATAAAAAAAAAAAAAGAGTTAGATTAGACATAAAAAAGTAGAGCACTAGAAAGGCCAAATATGAGCTACTATGACTGTTATATCATCATACTTTCCACCTTTCTGCTCAAATCCAGCTTTGGAACATTCCCTAGTAAAAGGCGTGTAAATCTCTGTGTTCTTAGAATTCTCCAGTGCATATTGCGCTATCCTCCACGCCAATGTCTCAGACTCATCCGATTCCCACGAGTCCACTCCATTGTTTACAACAAGTTCTAACTCAAAATCATGAACATTATCGAACAATCCATCTGTTCCCATCACGATTATATCTCCTGCTTTCACCGGAAAACTAATCTTCTCTGCAACACTTGGATCATTAGAATTTTTACTATTCCCCAACTGAAAAGGACGGTTAAAACTCGACTGCTGAATTTCTGATTTGTACACAATTACCCCATCTTTGATCACTACGAACCCGCTATCTCCAACGTTAACAGCATGTAAAGTGTCATCAGCGAGTTTCAACATACAAGCAGTAGAAGAACCAATAGCCTTTGTATTCAAGAAAGCTTCATTAAGTACTTTGATTAAATCAATATTAGCAGTACTACTTTTATCTTCTTGTTTCTGTTTGTCAATGAATGATTCAGCGTTTTCCATTAATTCCCTTGAGTATTTTCCTGAATCAATACCCTTTTTAGCCCAACCACCAACACCATCAGCAACACCTATAAAACGAACCAGCAACCATGCTCGTACTTCCTGTACAGTTGGTCATGTCTTGTTCTTGGGAACAAAAGTTAAATATCGGAATAATGTTGGCCACAGGATCATCAGTAGTAATGTCGAAGGAAGTTGTCAAATCCTCAGGGCAAAGCAAGAATTGGATGAAGTCAAGGTCTGATTTTTCAATGAGTCGTTGCTTCTTAGTAAGGATTTCTGTATCATCTGTGGACTCAGATTCATCAATGTGCCTCTTCTTGTTATGTACTATTTCTGTAGCCATTGACTTCAAGCCGTGTCTAGAATTTGGGATTTCCACCCTCCTCTTTTCCGATTTATATCAAAATTTGGAAACCTATTTCATTTTAACTCAACAAAAAAAAAAAAGTAAAAATGGCACGGGGCGCCCTATTTGGTCGCCCCCATTTAACATATACTCATTTTTTTAAAAAGTTTTAACTTGTACTCACTTTTTAAACAACTTCAGCCCCCTTTCTCCTCCTCCTTCTCCTCCTTTGTTTTCTTCTTCTTCTTTCTTCTGCTACTGTTGGTGCTGCTATGAAACTTCAGTTAATAGGGATGAACTTTCTGCTTAAGATTAACGTTTGCTGCTTATGTTCTTCAACCAACCTAATAACTTCCAAACAAATAAAGTTAAGAATGCTGAAGTTCAACAAATATAAACAAAAACTTCAGCTCCTAGAATGCTAAAGTTCAGCAAATACAAAACAAACTTTAGCCCTGAAGTTCATCACAAACATAACAAAGTTTCAGCTAAAACATGCTGAAGTTAAGCAAATATAGAACAAAACTTCAGCTAAAACATATTGAAGTTCAGCAAATAGAGAACAAAACTTCAGCTACTAGAATGCTTAAGTTCAGCAATTACAAACAAAAACTTCAGCTAACACTAAGTTTACGCGAAAAACTTCAGCTAAAACATGCTGAAGTTCAGCAAATAGAGAACAAAAACTTCAGCCAACACTAAGTTTACGCAAAAAACTTCAGCTAAACCTGCTGAAGTTCAGCAAATAGTGAACAAAAACTTCAGCCAACACTTGGTTCATCAATTTTTGCTACTTCAGGCCCGTCTACTAGAATGCTGAAGTTTGCGTGATTGCCTTTGCTACTTCAAGCCCGTATGCCTGAAGTTATACAAAATATGAGTACGCTTGCAATTTTTTTTGCAAAGCGGGTATAAGTTAAAACGTACCCAAAAAGCGGGTATAGATGCAAATGCCCCAAAAAAAAGATGAGGAAAAAGGAATTTCTTAAAAGGGATCCTTACACATATAGCCGGTCATATTCATTGTTTACCTTTTCTAGCCATACACATAGATTATACATAATTATACATATATAATGTATAAATTATGTATATATTATACATCCACTGACTATTTTTAATTTAAGTGACTAAGTGTACGGCTATTTGAGTTAATTCTTCTTTTTAAAAACGTTGGTAACTTTTTTTCTTAATGTTTAACTTATTTCTTGATATTTCTTAAGTCAATTACAACTTTACTATTTCGTTGTGCTTATATTTGGACGTTCTAATTAACAATTTTTTTTAGGGGGGCATTCGGGGTGCAGTAGATCTCCTTTGCAAGTCTTATAGTTCTTACTTCAATTTTTGAAGTTTTTAACACAATAGAAAAAGCAGCAGTTTATCAATTAATAGAAATTCGTTATCTCATTTTATAGCCACGTTAAGAAATTTATAAATACCAGTTTTGCGCCTTCTTAACTAATGGAGTACAATATTATTATTATTATTATTATTATTATTATTACTATTATTATTATTATTATTATTATTATTATTATTATATTATTATTATTTTATTATTATTATATTATTATTATTATTATTGTTGTTGTTGTTGTTGTTGTTGTTGTTGTATTATTATTATTTTATTTTATTTTATTTTATTTTGGTCGAAAGAAAAAGCTTTATTTCAACCTTTTGCAAATATACATCATCTGTTCTTCTTGGACCATCGAACAGATCTCAAACAAACAATCAAATAAGCAAAACTATACAACTAAATATTGTTGCTTAGCTAATTCATAACACTATCAGAATAGTTATTTAAAGACTCCAGAATAGGTAACCACTTGAGCTTCTTTTGTCCAGCAATATGCACTTGAATAACAATGTCTTTGGCTCTATCTTTAACCTCTCTTTTCTGTTGTTGAAATCTCCTTTTATTTCTCTCCATCCATATATTGTATACCACTGCAGCAAATACCACTCCCAACAAAGTTTTCTTTGGACTTCTGTTGTTAACATTTGCAGTTAGCCACTGCACTTCTACATCCCAGCTGCCAGGTGATCTGTGATATTCTAACCATCTTAGCATTCTATTCCAAAGAGTCTGAGAATATGAACACTCAAAGAACAAATGATCATGTGTCTCTTCAATATCTCTCCCACATAGTGTACAAGATTGATCTACATGGATTCCCCATTTAGTTAATTTGTCTATTGTTGCCAGTCTTCTCTGCATTGCCATTCATAGTATAAACTGCTGCTTTGGTAAAGTCCCTTTGATCATCACTAGTGATTTTCAGTGCACTCTGGGATGCCTTGGTGTAGTCTGAAGATAGGCCTTTCTGATGCTGAATTTCCCATTCTGAGTACATGATTGTATACTTCTCATATCATTTGCCCACCACACTCTTGTTGTGAATATTTTCCTCACTAGCCAGTTAGCTTGATTAGGGGCTTCCATAGTAGGTATGTCTTTCTGCTTTATGTACTGTCCCTGACTCCACTTGATCCAAAGTTTATCTTTTTTATTCACTAAAGCCCATAACAGCTTTGTCAATACTGCTTTATTCCATCTCTCATAACTAATGATATTTAAACCTCCAGCAGCTTTTGGTTTACATAAGGTCTCCCATGCTATAGTAGCCCTATGAGTACTGTCATGGCTACCATTCTATAAGTAGTTCCTGCATATACCATTTAACAGTTTGATAATCTTCTTTGGGATAAGAAAGACTTGAGCCCAATAAGTTTGCATTTCAAATAATACACTCTTAATGAGCTGTAATCTGCCAGCATATGATAGGAATTTGGATGTCCAGCTTCTGATTCTATCCACAATTCTTCAACTAAAGGCATGCATAGCTGTATAGTAATCTTCCTTGTGGACAAAGGCACTCCCAAATACTTGAAAGGAAAGCTGCCTTCTGTTAAATGAAGATCTTCCAACATTCTATCTTTGAATTCCCTGGAAACACCTGCTATATATAGTGAACTTTTTTCCTAGTTTGCATGAAGACCTGACACCTTTGAGAATTGATCAAAAAACCCCATCGGCATCTTCTTTGAGACTTCATCAGCTCTACAACACATCAACAAATCATCTGCAAAACAGATGTGAAGTATTTGCAATCTGGTGCATTTGGGATGGAAGTTGAAATCTGGAACCTTTGTCAATGACTTCAATGATCTATTGAGGTACTCCATGGCTAATACAAACAAGTAAGGGGACATGGGGTCCCCTTGTCTTAGCCCTTTCTTTGCTTCAAACTTATTAGATAATCCTCCATTCAATAGCAGGGAATAGCTCACTGTAGAAACACATTCCATAATCAATTCTACTAACTTGTATGGCACCCCAAATTCCAGCAGTACTGATTTCAAGAAACCCTATTCCACTGAATCATAAGCTTTCCTAATGTCTACTTTGATCATACATCTAGGAGATACTGCCTTTTGAGTGTACCCTTTGATCAACTCATGAGCCACAATAACATTGTCAAGTATGTTTCTTCCCTCTATGAAAGCAGACTGTGAGGGTCCAACCAGAAAATCAACCACCAGTTTAAATCTATTTATTAAGATTTTAGTTATGATCTTATACAGTGTTGAGCAGCAAGCAATAGGTCTAAATTCTTTAACAAAACTGGGGTTCTTCACCTTTGGGATCAATGTAACAGTTGTACAGTTTACTTCTTTTAGTAGTTTACCATTTTGAAAGAATTGTTGTACAACTTCTATAACCTCTTGACCTATAATTGGCCAAAACTCTTTAAAAAACTCTGTAGGGTATCCATCTATACCTGGTGCCTTATCATTAGGCAATTTCTCCACAATTTGACAGATTTTCTCACTTGTTACTGGCATAACAGCTGCTGTTGCTGATACAATGTTCATCATCATCATCATCATTATCATCTGATACAGTGTTCATCATCATCATCATTATCATCTGATACAATGTTCATCATCATCATCATCATCATTATCATCTGATACAATGTTCATCATCATCATCATTATCATCTGATACAATGTTCATCATCATCATCATCATCATGATCATCTGATACAATGTTCATCATCATCATCATTATCATCTGATACAATGTTCATCATCATCATCATCATCATGGAGGAGGTTGCTCAAAACTTGAAAGCTTGCCAGAAGAGATAGGGGATTTAGACAACTTGGAGGAGTTTCATGCAATTGATACTCTAATTTCACGACCTCCGTCTTCCATCGCACGCTTGAACAAACTTAAAGTGTTGGATTTTGGATTCGTACTGGATGGTGTGCACTTTGAGTTCCCTCCAGTAGCTGAAGGATTACGCTCATTGGAAATTCTGAATCTCAGGTACTGCAATCTAATAGATGGACGACTTCCGGAAGACATTGGATCTTTGTCCTCTTTGAAAGAATTGAATCTCCATGGAAATAATTTTGAGCATTTGCCTCGAAGCATAGCCAACTTGGTGCTCTTCAATCCTTGGTGCTCTTCAATCCTTAGACTTATCATATTGCCAGAGGCTTATACAACTACCAGAACTTCCCCCTGAATTAAATGAATTACATGTAGATTGTCATATGGAACTGAAATTGATCCATGATTTAGTAACAAAGAGGAAGAAACAACAAAGGGTGATATTCAAACCACTGTATTATAAGGATAATACACACAATGATACTGTTAGTAATCCGTATTTGTAAAACAATTCTGGAGAAAATAAACAGCATAAACAGAAATGTAAATGAAATAACAAAACCAATTCGAACCCACTGAATTCACAGTGTTTCCTTAAGGAATTTAATCCCCTCCTAGTACCCAAGGTTATGGATTATTTTCTCCCAGGATAGAACGAATTACACACTGATGTAGTGGTACTTCAAACCTAGTGTTTCAGCGAACACAAAGTTCGGTAGCAAATCACACTTGCTATTACTTTCTTTGAAGTTAAAATATGCAGAAGAAAGGAGGAGAACTCAGAAATTAGTATGTAAAATCTGAGAGAATAGACTTGTATTTATAGCCAAAGTTGGACTGAAATCTGAAGAGGTGCAACTCTTCAGAATGACTGTTTTTGCAAAACGCCAATAGAATAAATGCCATGATATAATTTGCTATTTACTCAACAATAAAGAAGGAAAATTGAAGGGTAGTTAGTTAATTTTATGTTACAAAAATAGAAAACTGAAAATTGGATATCTGAAATGGATTTAATATTAATATTTATTTTAATATTAATATTTTGTTATTAAACAAATATTTAATAACATTTCTTTTAATATTTAATATTAACAAATAAATTTGGTCCAAAAATTTAATCAATTGATCATTTGACCAAAGCCAAAGGCGAGCCGAGCCGCGCAACGACGACGGCGCGAGGCTTCCTTCTTCTCAACTCTTTAAGAGCTAGAAGAAGAGCAATTGCTTATATACCCATCAAAAACCTTTTCCTCTTCCCATATGAGACAATCAAGCAGGGAACCTCAAATATTACTCAAATATTTCTTTTTTTCCTCCATTTCCCATTCACCCTATTTTAAGCTATTAATGCTTAAAAAAACCCAACAGAAACTATATATAATATGTTTGCACATGCCTTGTTTCAGAATATCTCTTCCTCGAAGCATGACATCTCTGCCTCAGATTCCTTGTCCGAAAGTGTGTTTACCATTGTACATATTAAGAAGAAGATCCCAAGTTGGTTCTTCTATCAGGGAACGAATAGTAGTGTATCAATCAATTTGCCTGGAAATTGGTATATACCTGATAAATTCTTGGGATTTGCTGTATGTTACTCTGGCAAATTAATTTACACCGAAACTCAATTGATTCCCGTATGTAATGACAGGAAGTCGTGGATGGCCCAAGAACTTGGCTTATCCAACCTATCAGAATCTGATTCAAAATATTATATACATTTTTTCTTTGTACCTTTTGCTGTCTTATGGGATACATCTAAGGCAAATGGAAAAACACCAAATGACTATGGGATTATAAGGCTATCTTTTTCTGGAGTAATGAAGAAGTATGGACTTCGTTTGTTGTATAAAGATGAACACCATGACATCTTGAGCGATGCAGCCAGTTACTTTGCTCTAAAGCCGGTGGCATCGCCTATGAAGAGCGTATGTTTCCTTTGTTTGTAGTACAACAACTAGATTCTTGGCCTGAGAAAGAGATTCGTGAGAGAACTTACTTGGGTATGCAGTAATCCATTCTTTTTAAATCTATATATATCTATACTATATACTGGTGTTATTAGTAAAGGCGACGTGACGCCTCTCTTAGACCAGAATAGTAGTCTTGTGAAATGAAATCACATCTTCACCTTTGCTGACAGGTAGACTTTCAAAAAACAATTGCAGATGAATGTTCGCGAAGCAAGAAAGCTGTGCCAAAATTGATGGATGAAAGAAGCTGATGTCCTTTGGGATGTAGATAGAGCTCAACTAGTCTTGTATTCTCTTCATCAGAAACTGATGTTCACCTTTTCACTTGCAAAATAATTTTCATTCTGGAAAAACAGAAGTTTCTTACACACTGCATAATTTTAAATATTGCTTGTCGTAATGATCATGCTCTAACTTTAGCAATACACTTTTGCAGGGCCATTTTCATATATGTACCAAGCTAAATATTGTGTTTTTTTTCATAAAAAGTTTCTGAAAAGGAAAAAGACTTGCTACAAACATGCATGTTAAGCTTTCCAAAACTTCAAAAAACTTTTCAGAACCAATTAAGGACTCACAAAATAGACTAACTTCTGCAATATAAGAAGGATGAAAAGAAAAATTGGTTACCTCAGTGACAGATCAAAAAGATGATTTGTTTATAAAACATTTTGCATCTTTTCAACGATATATTATGCGATTTTGAAAAAAAATTGATCTTCATATGGAATACACACGCAATACACTTGCCCAAAAACTAGTAGAACAAATAAGAGCGAGCTATTTTTAAGTTTAAATTTTTTAACAAATTTTTGCACTTATGTTATTATTGTTATGAAAATTAAACATTAACACTTATCCACACAGCCACACTTAATGTTCATATCAAAGGATCAATAAAACCTATACCTTATAAACATATTTCTCTATGAGGTTGAGGCCTTGTCACAAATGAGGGAAAATAACAATGAACATTCAACTCGGATAAGGAGGACCCGATATAACAATAGTAAACACGACGTCATGATCAATGAAGCCAGCTGCTCCTCGGGTAAGAACCAAAAGTC